AGTCTTATCTTATCAAGATAAAGCTGGAGGTCTCCCTATTCAGCAAGGAGTCTCCCTAAGAACAGGACTCTTGTAATCTCCTATTTAAGGAGCCACTATTAGTGAATAAAGGCACCGAATATTCAGTCAAGAAGAGAGTAAGGAGAGTTGGTGATCTCTTGGACAAATCACCATTAGGGCGGCCAAGACAGGTTCATCAAGAACAGGGAGGAACAAGGAAAAACAGGAGGTTTTCCCCGTGAACCGACCCGTGACGAGATCCTATTCGCGGGCCCATAACATTTTGGTATCAGAGCAAGGCGTATGGGTGATCTGGAGCAGCTGCCGTCCAGGGTCCACAAACTCGAGCACTGGCTCGTGGAGACCAGCTCGAAAGTACGAGAAATCAAGGACGAAGTCAGGGAGCTATGGCGTTTGGAGTTATTCCTTTCTAGCAAGGAGAGGAACACAGAAGGGGAGGCAACCACTGGCGGCTGCCGACCGGATCTGTCGAAGTCTTCCGGTGAGCAGTAGATCGTCAACCAGGGGGCCGCGGTCATTCCCAAGTACAACAGGTTGGAATTTCCGTCGTACAACAGCAATGGAGATCCCTTGGGTTGGTTGTACTGGTGCGAGCAGTTTTTTCGCAATCAACGGACAAACGATCAAGACAAGGTAAACCTAGCCGCCTTTCACCTAACAAAGGAAGCGCAACTCTGGTTCTATCGATTGGAACAGGAAGAACCTGGGCTCAGTTGGACCTAGTTCAAATCTTACTGCCTTTTTAGGTTTGGGCCCCCACTGACAAGCAACCCCTTAGGTGAATTGATCAACCTCAAACAGACGGTAACGGTGGCTGAATACCAACGCCAATTCCAGACCCTCCTTGCCAGAGCAGCTTCAGTACGACCAGACCAGCAGGTAGACATGTTCACCGCAAGGTTAGCAGAACCCTTGAGGGTGGATGTGGAGATGCAACACCCCCCCAACCTGGTCACAACCATGAATATAGCTCGCGCCTTCGAACGCAAGATACAACTCAGCCGCGGAACCTTCAGTATGGGGCGGCCTCCATCAGCATGGGCATCTCCGGAACCACTCGGAATGGCTCCATATTCAGTAGCCAGCCAAGAACAGAAGCCACAGACGAGCAACAATTCCAGATCAGCATCCAGTGTGGGGAGCAGCGTCGTTGCACCCCCTATTAAGCACTTGTCCAGAGCTGAGATGGCGGAATGCAGGGCGAGGGGACAATGTTTTAATTGTGATAAACTCTACTCAGCAGGGCACAAGTGCAAGAGACTTTTCTGCCTCCTGGTGAAACAAGAGGAAGATGAGGATGAACCCTCTTCACTGGAACCCGATCTAGGAGGGCAAAGTCATTCCACCTATCCGGGATTCCTTTGACTGTGTTTCAAGACACCCATCCTGAATTTGAGCTTGAGGACAAGCTCGTAGTCCAGAAGGGGAGTAATGATGTGGACACGTATTGGGAGCAACAACAGCAATGATCCGGTGTTCTCATCCTATCCAATTCGGCAGCAACAATCTTATCCATTCGGCAGATTAGATTAGACTATCTTGTTATTCTTATCTTATCTTATTAAGTTAGTAGATTAGATTATCTTATCGTATTAGGTTGCCTTATCTTATCAGATTAGGATTAAGAGAGACTTATCTTATTAGATTAGGATTAAGAGAGACTTATCTTATTAGATTAGGATTAAGAGAGACTTATCTTATCTTATCAGTCTTATCTTATCAAGATAAAGCTGAAGGTCTCCCTATTCAGCAAGGAGTCTCCCTAAGAACAGGACTCTTGTAATCTCCTATTTAAGGAGCCACTATTAGTGAATAAAGGCATTGAATATTCAGTCAAGAAGAGAGTAAGGAAAGTTGGTGATCTCTTGGACAAATCACCATTAGGGCGGCCAAGATAGGTTCATCAAGAACAGGGAGGAACAAGGGAAAACAGGAGGTTTTCCCCGTGAACCGACCCGTGACGAGATCCTATTCGCGGGCCCATAACACTTAACACCATTGATGAAATTCAAGACTATCATGAGGCAATAAAACTGAGCTTCTAATTCCTAGTTTCCTAGAATGGCTCTTAAACAAATATATAATGAATAAATAAATAGCAAAGGATAAAAAGAATGGTTTATTGCTTTTGTAAATCCAAATAACAAGCCCCATAAACAAGACTCACCTAGAGATATTGCCACAATTCCTCTCATTTGATACTGAGATGTATAAATATAGTCTAGCATATCTGTTTCTTCTTCATTAGATAAGTCCCCTTTTGCTTTCAGCAGAGAAACGTGTTCTACAACTTTTCTGCAATAAATAGAATGATATGACACCCATCTTTCACTTGCAAATCTAGTATTTATATTGAGTAAGAAAAAAATATGAATAGTCATTGCTTAAAACCTTATTAGAAAACTAAATGGATGTTCTAATTCAGGAAATTGTAATTGTAACTATTTTTTTTTTGTAAACAGGAAATTGTAACTTGATATGTAAATATATGCCAACAATCTAATATATTTCCTTTTGTTCTACTTATGAATGGATTAGATGTTAATACATTTAAACTTGGAATTGAAGTTTCCAATACATAGTAGACAAAGCAATACCCGCAAGAATCAAACTTACACAAACCGGTGAATTATGCCCACGTCAATGGCTCATGTAATGAAAGGAAAGAAGAAAAAATGGACAAAGAAAAGGAAAAGAACAGATACCCATCAATGAGTTAAAGCAGAGTAAAGGCGGCGATCAATAGTGGAGCCATACTAGGTAAATCCTTTTTTCTTCTTTTTTTTTTTGTGGTGCATTGAAAATTAACAGAAAGCAAAATGGAAATAAAGAGAAAAAAAATCAAGAAATGGCATTCAATTCGGATTCACTATACACAACATGGGACGTTATGGCATTTCCCTGTTCTCTATTAATCCATGTAAATGCTATCATCAACTACAATTACATAGTTTACTTGTAATGTGAACTCTGCTCTGGATTCAAGTGAGTATTCAATGTCTTGTTGAAGAAAGAAAGAAAGCATCCTTCTTTAAGTTCAGAGGAATCCACCAATTTATCTAGAAATCTGTTCTTACAATGTGGGGATGCAATTTCAAATACAGAGTTCCATGTTGCGAGGGTGAAAAACAAATAAACCAAAGATAGCACCTTTTCCTCGTGGAAGCGGAGTTCTCTGAACCAGTGCCGGAAAACGGTTCTTCAGAAGCAGAAAAATCAACTCTCAAACGATTCTCCCAACGGGAACAATTTATCGGAATTCCTTTTGACTTCAAAACTAGAAATTTGACCAAATCAAAAACAAATGCAGAATTTTTAATTTTATCAATGAAATAATAAATTTTCGTGCTCAAGCAAGCTCACCATTGAAGGATCTCTTTGCAGAGCAGTGAAGAAACGGTGAAGAAGAAAATTCGAAAGGAATAGAAGGAAAGAAGTGAACGGAGATTAGGGTTTCGTGGAAACGAGTAATGGAAGGAATGCCCCAGGGGCCGACAATGTGCGCCTGAACGGGCATCGTCTAAGAGAAAACAATCTTCAGAAGCCCCTGAACGGGCGTCGCTTCAGAAATGCTTGAAGCGGGAGATGTGTTGTGTGGCAAAGAGAAGCTGAGAATGGGTGGACCAAGAAATAACCAACATGTAACGAGGACGAATTGGCCTCAATCTCAGATATCGTAAATTACAACATCATCCTCTTACTCAAGACTCAAGACTGGTGTCAATCGGACTGGATTTGGTCCAGTCCAATCCGACCCAACGTTGGTCCATTTACAAATGACCTGGACCAAATTCAATCCAAATCTATACAAACTGGATTGGATCCAGTCTATTTGAAATGCAAATAGATTGGATTGAGTCCAACCCGGTCCAAACTAAATGAAAATTCAAAAAATACTTAAAAACCCAGAAAATGTGAAAAAGTTACGGAAATGGTTTCTTGGAACAAATAGTTAGCCTTTGGACACATCTTGCGTGCGCAAACCTACTTAGTTCTAGTAGTGATTGATGTAATATCTCAATCTCAAAGCATAGGAGTACAGAAGCAAACGAGCAATAAGTCCCCATTGTATTTGAAATTTTTAATAGCTAGAGAGTCCCATCACCTGTTCCAAAATTCCAATCTGAAGGCTATCAAACGCATTGCCTTGGCTGTTTAGGTATAATCAGTTTTAAATGTGCTTCAAATTTGGTCTAAGTCAATTCAAGACTGATCTTGAAATTTCATATTTCAAAATCATTGGGAAATCGGTTCTCAGGTTGGATTAGAAAAATTTTTTAAATTCAGTCAACCATTAAATTTGATTCATCCATGTCTAATATGATTTTTAACCCTTCCAATAGGCTCTATTATATGCCCTTCTCTAGCAATGATTTTCTACAATTGCCAACAAAGAAGAAACTATACATGCTTTCTTTGGCTAGCTATCAAGCCCATTTGCTTTTATCTTTTACTATGGGACCCATTTCTAATAAATTAAGGAAAGTTGCATGATGAATTCCAAATCAGTGACCTAAGAAGTACTTACTCATAATTCATGTGGAACTCACCATTATTGTGTCATTAAACTAAGAACTAAAGGAAAAACCATCTTTTTAATGAAGTCAAAGGTGGTTGAACTTTGAATGGCTTTGAGTAAGCCACACTAGAAATTAATGCAATATGGATCGACCTAAACTGAAAGTTGTGAAAAGAAATCATTTGAGCCCATTAGTTAATTAAATCTATTAGATGGGAATAAATGATGCACTCGATATTTATGGGTCTTATGAACTTATTCTATTTCTGACTACCTAAGAACTATGCTACCATATGTTTAGCTGCACCAAATCATGATTGTTAAGTCTCTAAACCAATGGACGTTGATATGAAGAGGGATTTGTGGTGCATGGTTGGTGATCCCATGAAACATTGCCCTATAAAGTTCAATCAAGGCCATCTTTCATTTTAATGAATAAAAAATGATGAAGTCATTTTTTCCTTGTACCCCTTGCAATGCATCTCACAACACTACTTTGGAAATTTCTATGTATAAGACTAAACAGTCCCAATAAATGGAGAATCTATTGACCCTATGTGTTTTGACGATAACAAACACATTGAGAGTATTAATAGTGTATTTAAGTGTGCAACATCTTTAGTAAGCTTCTCTATATTTAAATGATGTAAAAAACTGCAATGCCACATGCGATCAAGTGGAAGTTGTGTTGATTAGCTACTTGTGCTTCAATGTGTTTCTACACCATCATCAACCTTTCTCCAACAAAGGAAGCTCCATGAACTTAAAGGATTTGGAGCTGCTAAAGATCGATTTTCTGCAAAACTCATAAAGGAGTCAAATTATACATCAAGTTGTATTTATTGGCTTTTATCTTTTCTATAATCTTGATGTAAATCAATTGTATTATGCACTTCATGGATGCTCAACAACATTGTCTTTCCTAAGCTTAATCATGTTAAAAGTTAGAGAAACATCTTTAAAATCCAAAGGAAAAGTTTCCAAACCTTTAGGCAAAATGTACCAAGATTTCAAGGGTTATCTGTTATGCAAATTTTCCTTGACTATGAAAATGTGTTAACTACCCAAAAAGATGTATTGATTAATTATAACATTTGAGGGTTGCATTGCTAAGATTTTGAGAATGTGCTGACTACCCAGAAAGATATATCAACTAATTATGACAACTGAGCCATGTAAGAGCCCAAATTGAGAAGATGTGCCAACTTAGGCTCACTAGTCAATTGAACCAGTCAACAAAAAGAGAAAAAAGATTTCTCCCTTTGTGTTGTAGTCAATTATTAAAATAGTGCAATCACCTACCACGAAGAAGTTTAACCATTTGAAGGCTTGAAAGGATACTACTAAATCTAGAAAGCCTTCTAATGAGTTGGAGGAAATTTGAATCATTTACTAAAGAGATAAAATCCCTCCAACGGATAAAAAATGGTTTCATGTTATTAATCCTCTATAAATAGAGGTTCTAAACATCAATTCAAACACAAGAAAGCAAAAGCCAAGTTTTGAATCGACCTAGCAAAAAACAACTTGTGCTTTCAAATGTACATATAGTATATAATTGTTTTTTAAAGAGAGCAAGCTAGAGCTAGAGTCTTTCTGGAGAAGATACTTGATCTTCATCTGGTTTAGGGGTGAACTTTGTCAAAACCTTGAGTTCTTTCTCACTCATCTTATTGGGATTCTCCTCCCTAAGTTGAGCATCTGTAAATACTCTAGCAACTGAATTATTTTGTGTTGTAGTTATTTATATCTACCTATTAAGTGATTGCTCTTGCATTATAAACCTACTCCTATGTTATAATGGAAGGTCTTTGAATAGATAGGTTTTCAACTTGTTGAACACCATTAAGGTCTTGTTGGCAACTCTATTAAGCCCAACTATAAGGTCTTGCATGCACCCGAAAGTTCTACTGGTTTAGATCTTGTTGGCACCTAGTGTAAGTCCAACTGGAAAGGTATTGTATGCACCCGTAAAGTCCTATTGGTTGTAAAGGTTTGTTTGATTTCTGGGAAGTCCAATCGGTTAATGGAAAATCCTCAGTTGTGTTCTAAGGTAGGATGTAGGTAGGGTTGGTCGATTATCTATAAAAATCTCTATGTGCCTTCTTGTTTTTGTTTCTTTACTTTTAAAATTTGTGTAGTTTATTCCTCTTATGCTAATTTGTCTCAACTTTAATACTTAAAACCTTGAGACCATGTAGACTTGCACTTTATTTTCTTTGAGCTCTAACTTTACTAACTCTATCAATTGCACTAGCATTACAAACATTATTCATTTCCTTTACATTTATTGTTATGCTATTTACATTTATCGTCTATTTACATTTCTATAGTCAGTTTTGAGTGTTGTGATAGATGGTCCATATCTCATCTATCTTATAGCAGGTCCACTTCGCTACTACTTGTTTGTGGTTAGTCCTCTCTCTTTAGCTACAAAGCACACACCACTAGGTACAGCTACCGTTTACATTTGAGCAACTTTACATTTCAGCTACTCCTTTACATTTATATAATTATTTACATTTACTGACCTTATTATGTATTAAATGTAGAAGAACTAACCTAATAGCAGGCTATAGTTCTTTAACTATTTAATTCTTTATCAGTTGCTATATTCTTATTAGCAGTCTTCATATTTACTATTGTGCTTTCTTGTTGACTGCTAACCCCTACATCTCCTGCTACTGTATTGTTTATCAATTTTGTAGACATAGGTTCTTCACTAGTTTGAAAGTTTGGTTGATTCAAGTTTACCATCTTGATTAATTACAGAACCTAGCCAACTAATTCTTTAAACTTTAGTTGAATATTATTTGTGAAAAAGGCTTAGATTTAATTTAAGGGGAAGGATGTTGACCTTGATTGTTTAATAATCTATGAGCTTGAATTGAATTCAAGCATAATCATAGTTTTAGAGCTTTACCTAATTCACCTCCTCTTGGATAAGGCCGTCGGTCCCAACAAGTGGTATCAGAGCAGGTTCACCTATCCACAAGCTTAACAACTTGGTGAACAATGGCCACCCAATTCATTATCACCATAAAGGTCAATCTTTCTCCAGACTTCCATCATTTAATGGAAAAGACTACAATTACTAAAAGTCTAAATGAGGGCATATCTCATATCCCAAGACTATGATCATTGGGAAATAGTTGTACATGGACTACATAAATCCTCAAGTGAATAAAAGGATATAGAAAAAGAAGATTACTTAGAACCTTTTGAGGAAGAAAAAAAAAAGGAGAATCTCACTAAATTCAAAGTCTATGAACTGCTTATACTGTGCACCAAGAAGAAGTGAGTTTTTGTTTTTTATTTTATTTAAAAAATTAAAAATAAAAAATGTTAAAATTTATAATCCTATTAAAAAAGATTCAAATATTTTTAAAATATTAACATACATACATACATATATACATATATACCCATGGGGATAGGGGTCCTTGCGAAGCAGGGAGTGCTCTCCCCATCCCTACAGGGGGAAAATCATCCCCATCCCCGCCCCATTTGAGGTAGGTCCCTATGGGGATCGGGGAAATGGGGAAAATTGTCATCCCTAGATTTGAGTGTATTAACTCTCATTATGTGAAAATGGAGGAATTCCAACTACCTCCTATGGAAGCAACAATCCAATATGCAAAAAGATGCTAGTAACAAAAATGCATCTTCTTAATGTAAAAAGGAGACTATCATTTGATCTCCCAAATGAATGAAAAAAGGAGATATTTTAGCTCTACCTCCAAAGATATGTATATGCTACAACTTAAGAGGAGTTATACAGAAAAATATCATATATTCTTATGCTCATTAGTATTTATCTAGTTGAATAGGCATTGCTTGTGGAGTATGGCTAATTATTTGCATATATGTTCTTAATTGAAAGCCATATTCATTTGTCTTGTTAACTAAGCTAAATTTGTTATGTGCATCATTGTGTTCAATTGTCTCATGTAACATGACACAGGAGAATAGTACTCTCATATCAAACTTTACTATTTTATTTTTATTTTTATTAATGGTTTTTCAACATCAAAAAGGGGAAGATTGTTGACCCTATATGTTTTGATGATAGCAAACACATTGAGAGTACTAATGGTGTATTTAAGTGTACAACATCTTTAGTAAG